TTGCTGGCTGACGGGCAAAGTAGTTCTTAATTTTCTACCCATAAGAAGCTCACATGGAGAAGGTAAATTTTGTTTGGGAGTTACATTGTAATTAAGAATGGCTGCGAATGGATCTTCTTTTTCATAAAGACACTTAGTTAGCAAGCTCTTGACAGTCTGAATTGTTCGTTCAACCATGCCGTTCGATCTAGGGTATTTTGGGCTAGAGGTGGTCAGTTGTATATCGTATTTTTGTGCAAATTCTTTAAACTCAAATGAATTAAAGGGTGGGCCATTGTCCGAAAATATCTCTTGAGGCAAGCCATTTATTGCAAATATATTTTTAAGTGTTGACACAACAGTAATGCAAGTTTTATTTAAAAGTTTGTTAACTACAGCAAACTTACTAAAGTAGTCTACAACTACCAAAAAATCTTGCGTGCCAAGTGATTTAAAATCTATTCCGACTTTTTGCCAGGGTAGATCAGGGATTTCATGAGGAGAAAGTGGCTCTCTAGCATTGGATTTTGAATAGGATTGACATAAATCACAGTAAAGGAACATTTTTTCAACATCTGATGACCATCCAGGGTAGTAGATTGCTTCCTGAGCAAGATTTTTGCATGCCACGACTCCTTGATGATATTTATGAATTTGACCAAGAAATTCTTGCCTGAGACTATCAGGTAATATCAAACGTTTGTTATAAAAAAGAACATTCTGATGTAAAAATATTTCATTTTTTATAGGCCAAAACTCTCTCACATTTTGGGACGTCAGGTTTTTGTGTTGTGGCCATCCATTCAATACATAGTTTTTAATTTCACTTAGTACAGGGTCAGACTCGGTAGCTTGTATAATTCTGTGTTCAGTTTCAGGTCTTACAGCTATGACTGAAAAAACTTTTAAATTTGAATCTAAATACTCAGTATTTATCGATTCCTTAGAAGGTTCTCGACTTAATGTATCAGGAATTTGAAGGTATTTTCCTGGAACGAATGTTAAGGTAAAGCGATATTTAAGTAGCCTTATAGCAAGTCTTTGAATGCGTGGTGACATTTCGTCTAATGGTTTTTTCAAGAGTCCAAGAAGAGGACGATGATCAGTCTCGATTTTAAAATTTTTCTGCCCGCACAAATAGTAGTTGAAACGTTCACAACCGTAAACAAGCCCCAATAGCTCTTTCTCGATGTGATTGTATCTTTATTGAGTTGACGATAGAGACACGCTAGCAAACTCAATTGGGCGATTATTTTGGCTAATATAGGCTCCTAATCCATAGGGGCTTGCGTCTACGGACAGTGTTATTTCTTCTTTAGGACTGAAAAATGACAAGGTAGTAGCCGATGCAACTAGATCTTTCAGATTATTAAAGGACTTTTCTTCAATAGACCGATCTCCTATTACCTGGACTGCGCGCGTCGCTTGTAGGCTGCAGGTGAGCGACCAATGAGAAGCAAGTTTGTGACAGGCTTGCGTCATATTCTAATTCAGGAGCCAGTTCAGAATCAATCGCTCCTTCTTTCTTTGTAACGTGTAATTTGACAAAGAGCAAACTAATACTTTACATATTACTTGAACTCACCGCAGTTTGGTTTAAGGTTATGTTAGATTATACTTGACATATTTCATTGAGCGATGTTGCCGAATGAAACATTTGTCAAAATAAAAGTGCAAACGATAGTCATCCACTTTAAAGCTCTTCTTTTGTCTAATTTAAGGCATTGTAAAACCCTCGACACTATATCACTTCGTTAATGTCATAATGTTCGATTTGTATTGTCTACATTTTGTTCTGCAACAATACAATCTGGCTACACTGCAGCCTACGAGTTGCGCGCGCATGTCATCTTCTATTGCTTTCTAACTTGTATTTATTACAATTAAGCTCACTTTTTCTAATCATGCGAGACAGGTCTATAACAGTCCACTGCCATTCCGATTTATTGCTCAGAAGTGTACGGAGTGTATTTGTTTCATTCGATAGATTCGGCAAGAATTTTGAGAGATAAACAATCATACCCAAGAATCTTTGTAAATCCTTTTTATTTTTGGGTGATTCCATTTCTCTTATAGCTCGGGTTTTACGTTCATCTGGTGAGACACCACTCGCACTGATAATATGGCCAAGAAATCTGATTTCGGTAACACAAAACTTCGATTTTTCTCGATTTAGGGTCAATCCACTGTTTTTAATTTTTTCAAGAACAGTATGTAAATTTTGGTCATGTTCCTCAATGGTTTTTCCATAAACGAGTATATCATCGAAATACGATAATACTCCTTGAACGCCCTCTAAAAGTTCAAAAATGCATCTTCGAAAAATTTCAGGAGCGCACGATATTCCATATGGAAGACGAAGGTATCGATATCTGCCAAAACTTGTAGCTATAGTGCATAGAAGAGAACTTTAAGTCAAGGGGAGCTGCAAAAAGGCGGACGATGCATCTAGCAAGCTAAAATATTTTGCTCCTGCAAGTTGTGCAAATAATACATATTGAGTTGGTATTTCAAAAATTTCTCGTTTTATGTATTTATTGAGAATACGAGGATCCATACAAATACGAATGTCTTTTTTATCCGGTTTTTGTACGACAACAATGGGAAGGACCCAATCGGTGGGTTCAGTAACCGGTACAATTAACTTTTCTTTTACCATTTCATCAAGTTTCGATTTTACTTTGTCCTTGAGAGCAACTGGTATTTTTCGAGGCCCGCTCACATGTGGCACAGCATCATCACTCAAAGTAAGTGAGAACTGTTTATTTATCTTACCAATACCAGAAAAAACAGGCTCATAATATTTTAAAACTTTTGGAAGATTATTATCCTTGTCAGAATATTTGTTATCACCTATATTTTTTACAGAATCAATACTCTCATTTTTTGAAACTTTCGGTATGACTCCTATAGCACGTATTGCATTTAACCCTAAAATAGAGCAAGGTTTTTCTGAATCCAAAACATAGAACAAAAAAGTGAAAGTTTTTTTTTTAAAATGACACTTCAGATGGATTTGACCTATCACATTGATTGTATGCCCTGAGTAAGACATTAATACCGAAGAAACAGATGAAAGATTTTTATGTGGTATTTTTAATAGATTAAAGTCCGAGATGTTTAGCGTATTGACTTGGCTTCCTGTGTCTACTTTAAATTTAATGTCCACGTCAGAAATGTTCAAAACTTCTAGCCAGTCAATTGCATTAATATCTGAAGTTGTGATTGTCCACACAATTAAATTAGAATCAGATTTTACAGTGCTACATTCACCATCATAATCATCAGAATCACTGTCGTCATTAAAATTGAATTCATCAAAATATTCAGTAATTTCATGAATTTTCTGTCTTTTTCTACAAAAATTTCTAAAATGTCCAGTCTGCTTGCAAAAACTGCAGACTCGATAAAAAGCAGGGCACTTACCTGGCTCATGTTGCTGACCGCAGTTTGTACAACCAAAATTACGTCTTTGTTGATTACGGTTATCATTTGTGATATCATACCCAGATGCTTGACTACTATATTGTTTCAATCTACGGTTAGGACCATAGTTAGGTACTCGATTATATCTTGAACTTGAACCACTACCATTATTTTGATTGAAACGTCTATTAATCACATTCACAGAAACTGAATCTTTACTAATTTCTTTTTGAGTTAACACACTTGTTTCCATGGACCTACAAATGCTTATAGCTTCATTAAGTTCAAGATTTGGATATTGTAAAAGTTTTTCTTGTATACGTGAGTCCTGTACACCAAGAAGAATTCGATCACGGATTAAAACGTCCTTTTCACAAAACTCGCAAGTTCCAGCTAACTGCCTAAGTGCAGTAATAAACTGGTCAATCGTTTCACCAGGGAGTTGCTCCCTTTTAAAAAATTTTAAATGTTCATAGACCAGATGGATAGTTGGACTACAATGTTTATCAAATTTCTCAATTATAGTAGCAAGCTTTTGAGTCCTTCATCCCCCAATAAATTAAGTAAGATAGCTATCTTCACAGGGTCTTTTTTTTTCATTTTTACCACTTGCCAACAGGAAAAGTTCAAACTTTTGTTTCCAAAGTTTCCAATTGTTCGATATATCACCACAAAATGAAAATTGTTCTGGAGTTCGGCTTTGTTCCGCCATTTTTGGTATAAAAATATTATCTTATTTTGCCAATCAGCTATTTTTCAAGTTTACCAGCGAAATTCCTTAACCATTAGCGCACTTTTACCGCTGTCACCATGTTATGTATGAGCTTGACATACATAAGAAAGCATGAACTTCACTAATGGTTAAAACTATGATATATTCTTGACAAATTAAATTAACTGACTGTTGTCACATTGACAATATTAAACGTCTATACATCACACCATATTTATTGGTTGGAAATCTTGGCAAAGATTGGATTTTTTTTTTGAATTGATGTTGTTTTCCATGTAGCAGGAAATTTTCCGGTTACTATACTTCTATTAATTATTTCTAGAAATTGATGTCCAATGGGCTCGAATAATAGTTTCAAAATCTTTGTGTTTATCCCATATTTTCAAATCTGCAAATTCAATCAATTTGAAATTGCGTATGCCACATTGCATTTGGTTCATCTTTGAGATAACTTCCCTGTAAGTTGTTTTATGATGGAATTTTGTGATAGTTAAGTTTTGCCAATAGAATTTGTAATCTCTCTTTGTAATTTGTCACATTCACTTCACAAATACTAACAACTTTTATTGAACAAATTGACTTAAGAAAAATTCGCACATTTATAGACAAAATCCTACTCCGTAAGTCTTGTTTCCTCAAATATAACAAAATTCACAGAATAGATGTGCCCTAGAGGCAAACAGGTGGGTTCCTAGAATTCTGACTCTATTATCAATGCAATTTCATAACAATATAAATATCCATAGGTTCAAAGTTTCCATAGTTCAAAGGGTCTTGCTGCTAATAAGCATTCAATAGTCGCCTGTAATAATCCATGTCTAAGCCCATTCCACTTTCAAACAGATCATATTATTTATTTTAGATCCTGCTCCCATAGACTTGATAACCAAATTTTATGATGCCATTGCTAGAACCTTAAGAAATCAACAAGAGCCTGAAAATTCTGAATCAACAAATTTAGAATGTTCCTACGTGGTTCAACATCCTGCTAAAAATATTGCTATGAAAATCATGTCTCTAAAAGTTGCAGCATATTTAAATTGGAAATTAAGTATGTATTTCAATAATACCCAATTCAATTTGCAATAATTAAATCTTCTCGTTTTTCTAGCTGAAATACGATCATTACCATTTAAAACACAAATAAGCTTGTTGCAAGACTTGATGTATTTTACTAGTGAGAAAAAGACAATTATGGAAATATCAAATATTGAAGAACCTGATATTAAAACAGCTTCACCCCAATTCCTTTTCGCCTTATTATTATTCCATAGATGGTTACTGAGTACATCTATGCATAGGATTACTTCAAATTGGCAACAAAGATATGGGTAAGTGAAATTTTATCATGGTGTCTTAGAATTATTAGAAATTATTTTAGGCCAAATGAAATGTCGCCTATAGATGAAAATATAATTTGCTGTCCAGATAATATTAAAAAAACTGTAACATTTTTAACTGATGCTTTGGAATGGGAAGAAATACCTTTTATGTTGACTTTTGACTGTTTTAAAATGCTCACCGAAGAAAACGCTAGTATAGAGTTTGACTGGAGTAAAGGACAACCTATCTCAAGGTTTGATAACTATAATTTTTTTTCAAAACAATTCAAGAATTATTTATTGCAGTGAAGAGTTCCGAGCACAAATCTGTTACGATTTAGGCACATTTTTCTTTTATCAAGAAAACTACGAGGTGGCCAAACAACATTTCTCCCAATGTCAAAACTTTTGCCACTCGATAACTAGCCAAAATGGCTTTGCTGTATTTGACAAGAAAGTTTTGAATGTTTACGTTAGCGCCTGCGATCCCACTTTAAATGTTCCAAAGAAATCCCTATCGGAGCAATTAAATAATTCGATTGTTAATCATTTTATGGTAAAGTTTTTTATTATTTATTTATTTTTTTCAAAAAAAACTCACATATATTTTTATACCAGGGTATTACAAACATCCTTCAACAGGATAATTTGAGAAAGGAAATTCCTTTGGGCCATAGGATAAATTTGGAATTAGATATACAAGGGGCTTTATCTAGTGGAGTGTTTACTGTGGCAAGAGATTTGCTTTATAAAGTCAAAGCATTAAACTATGTCAGATGTATTTTAGATAAAAAATTATTAAATGAGTATTCAGTGGCTTCTGACAAAAATGTTGATACATTTTTTTGGGTAAGAAATGTCAATATATTATTTTTTATGTCTAAGCATTTTATTTTAGGCTATTCAAATAAATTGGAAGTTTCATGAAGAATCAGACAAAAAAACAATTAAAAACTATATTTTTGCATTGATAGTTAAAGATCAATCTCCAACTATAATGGAAAGAATAAAAGCAAATGAATGTTTAAAAAATATGTTCGACACAGTTGAATGGATGTATTTGACAAAAAAAGTAGCTGTTTTTGATGCGCCTGAAAGTGTTTGTAAACCTAAAGCTCCTATATTTGATCCAGTCAAGAAGAGAAAACCCAAAAGGGAGCTGAAGCATTATTCAAGACTGCTAATTATTACCTACGATTGGAAAGAAATAAAAGACTTATTAACAAAAATCCGATTAATAAATGCACATGACGATGTATGGGACATTAATCCTTTATGGGAGTTACCCACACTCTTACTGAATGTAATTAAGGCACTTCCTAAAGAGTCCCTCCGTGACTTAGCCTATGTCCTATTGGCAAAATCCAAAAAGCAACTTTTAAATAAAGATTGGAATTCCGCATTAGAATTGCTTATAATTTTGGGCAAGGAATTACAATCTGCTACCTGCAACGTTACCAAATTATCGAAAATGCTCAATTGGGAAGTGTTGTTGATTCAAATTACACAGTTAATGGAAAATTGGCCTCAGAGCAATGTTGGTAAGAATATTTGGGTGTTTTATGAAAAATGTTTTGTATTAGCTATATTGACATTTATTTCAACAAATTAATCTATAAAACATAACATTATTCAATAGTTTACAGTCATTGCGGTGTCTACTGAGTTAAATGAAAATTTAGAAACGGTGCAAGATACATTTGGTGATTTTGTTGTTAACATTTTTATTAAACCTCAATATCATATAATAAGATGATTTTAGCTGTAGATTGTGCTGTGACGATGTTTGGTAAAATTAAGTTTATCCACAGATAAACTTGCTTTAGTCAATGCATGCGAAGGTTGCTTACAAACCAGCGATTCAGTTTTACCACGCAGTGAAATCCTAGAATCTTGCGCCATTTGCATCCTTAACTTGGGCCGTTGGGAGTTTTTGATAAACCATGATAAACGAATGGCCAATTTGGATATTATATCGGCTATTGCTCTGGCTTGTAATGAAATCGTTAAAAACAAAGGGGCTAAGAAGTTTTCAAGGAACTTATGGGACTTGGGTGAGAATTCACGAACTTATTTGGAGTATATTTCAATAAAAAAAATGATTTTTGTAGTGTTACCAGTTTTCGCCCCAAATCCTTCAGGAGCTAAAAGGGGTGCTGGCTATCATGATAATTCCAGCCATTTAAAAAACAACTTATTATCCATATTTTTGAGACTGAAAGACTCCTTGTGCTTAACAGTTACGATATCAATCCTCAGTAAATTATACAATATTTTTAAGGATGACAATAATTTGGAGTTGCAAGTAGATTATATGAATTTATGGCCGGCGACTGTTAGCAAGTAAGACCACCTCTATATTTATTCTAATAAAAATGTGCAATTTATGTTTTTATTCTAGTGCGAATTCTTATATAGTGGAAGCAGCTTCAGAAATGCTATTTGAATTGTTGAATGAGGCTTTGAAAATTTACCCTACGAATATACCTTGGCTAAGGCTCAAGGGAGATCTTAATTTTGGTAAGTTTATAATTATATCAGTGTTTTAAAAGAATTTGGTGGAGTATCTCAGGTCATAATTTACAATGAGGGTCTTATACAGAGATCCTTTTGGGTGTTGCTGTCGGAGCAGTTCACTCCAAAGTAGGTACTTCACTGAAGTGGTTTTTCTTTTCTCCTGTCTTTTCCTTAAAACGCCATTTTTTTTATGAGTGCCTGGCTCTCTGGAGGGGATTTTGACAGCAGTTTAAGAAAATTAAAATACTAAACACTATCAAGTGAAAGATTAGAACAAAGATGCCAAAATCTCTCTGACCTCTCATTTATCCATTATTGTTTCTGTTAATGTTATGATCAAATGCCTTCGCATCCTCTCAACTGTGACTTTGGGTTTTTTTGTTTAAATCTTATCGGTTATCAACGTTTTTTTAAATAATGTTTATTTTTTTCAGCCAACAATTTCTACAAAAAATCCTTATCATTCTACCTAAAATCCCTAATGATATGTTACGACAATTTCAACATACCAATCCGGTATGACGAACACATATTCCGAAGAATGATAAAATGTTGCCAAGCGTTGAACTGTTTCACCCAAGCAGCGGTTTTGTGTCAATTTCTAGAAGAGCCCGATTATGCCCTGGCTTTCAGAATACTGGGCGAACAAAAAGCTTGTAATGACGCCATGGATGCTTACTATCATTGCTTTTGGGATACCAACATTTTGGAATTTTTAATTTACAGCCACAACCGCCGGGGTGAATTCCAAAGAAAAAAATTTGCTATTCAAGTGATGGGTATGCTGGAAATAAACTCCAATAACAACGAGGAAATACAAAGGGAGGCTAGTAATTTAAGAAAAAGCATATTTTTAAGAGATTTGTGTAAGCAATATGTATTTTAATTGTAAATTGATGTAAGATTGAATTTATGTTGAAATAAATTATTTTTTCTTAGTCCTCTGGTTTATCTGGTGGTGGTCCGCAAGGCTGCAACATTTTTTCCATCAAATTGAACCTGACGCGAGCTTTAGCTTCGTTTTCAGCTATAGCAAAATAGCTTAGCAAGTCTGGATGTCCCAAATAGCTAGAGTAGCTGTCTCTGTGTTGATTGAGGAGCCATTCGAACTTTGTGGTATCAGCGTGGCCTGTACCAATGTATTTTGATTGGAGATGTTCCAGCTGACTGTGGATGTTGTATCTGTCACCCATTGTGTAGTCTAAAATAATGGTTTTTGAATAAAATTTCGATCAGGTTGAAATTCTAGGGTGATGTGCGCACTGTGCATTCAAGTTTCTTCTTTTTGCACAAAAAGCGTATTATGTTTTTGAGGACGAAATCAGAATGTCGCTGCAGTTGAGTATGAATGAGAATAATTCTTTACAAAGTTTTTTTACTTTCAGAGCCAACGGTTTGATATTGAGTACTCCTCGAAAGTACACATCAAATGACCAGATAAATGAAAAATCTTTGTAGTAGGTACTCTAAACCTAAATAGTTTTTGAATTATCGATTCTACAGTACAATCAAATAGTATGCATATACAGTATATGGTATATGCTGTGCAAATAGTAGAGATCCTATTTTGAGAAATATTGAAATTTGTTAGGTAAATAATGGGGCTGCAATTACCTTCGCAGTACGAACAGGAAAATTCAATTTCTGTCCCAGAATTCTAATTATATGTTTATATCACCTCACTAAACTTTTCAGGAAAACATACAAACAAACAAAAACCGTGGACAAAAACACTTTCGAAGTGAGGTTATGTCAATCCTTTACGTCAAATGTCAAATGGCGATATCCATTTGTCATTCAGTGCGCACTGAGTGTATCCGCATCTTTTTCTAAAAACATGTAACACATAAGGATAGGGATACATTTATTTTTGCACTGATGCATCAAATGGAAATCGCTAAAAGTCAAACTAAAGACTCAAGGATAATACACACTGACACTATTACTACAGGATAGCCTATCCTCATAAGGCCTGTGTAGAACAAATTTGGAGCCCCCACCTCGCCAAATCACCAGTTGTGATGTAGCCAACATGTCCTTTTTCGCCTTGACGTAGGCTGTTTGCACCACAGGCTAGGATTCCGCGGGCTTTTGCTTTATCCATAAGGTCGTGTTTATGTTGGAGCTGTGAGAGGGTCGATAATAGCGATGAGAAGAGCTATTCAAAAGTATCAAGAAAGCGCTGCTCAACATAGACACCTGCGTACAAACACAGGCATTGTATTTCGTTGCTTCGCTGGTATCGTTGCTTTTATCGTTTATCACAGCTCCAACAAACACGGCCTTGTCTTACTACATTAAAGGCCGGTTTCTCAATAGCAAGTCACCTCCCGAGCTAAGCATAACTTCAGGGTAAACACTGGAGTTAAAACCAACCCGGAGGTGACTTACTAGAGAAACCAGCCCTAATTAACATTCCTAAAACAACTATTTTTCAGATCTCGTTTATACACCAATATGACGGCGATTACCAAAAACGAGGCCGATAAGCAATCCTTGTAATAGTTGTATTCCTTTCACACCTGGGAGGGGCTCCGGAACAGCTCCGGAGCGTTACGCGCTTATTTCTTTCGAAAAGTGTTTGTAGCACCTCTGGTTACACCTGACCTGAGTGCTCAAGCCCGACTCAAACCATTTAAATGCTTGAAAGCCAGCGCATCTGTAGTGTGTACTAGTTTTGGCAAAGACCTACTCCTGAGCAGCACCTTGTTGCAGAGCAAGGATTTAACACACTAATAGAAAGCATTGCTCATCTACTTCGATTTTTGGAATCGACCTTTCCGGAAACGCTGATTCGATTAACACGATCACTAGCTGTTTGCTTTTAATCTTTCTTTAATGAACACGATTGAAAAAAGACATACAGCCTTTTCGGTAACGCTGATCCGAACAATTCGATCACCAGCTGTATGCCTTCCTTTTTTTTTTTAATGAACATGATTGAAGAAAGGCCAAGAACAGCCGCTGGCGATCCGGTCAATCGGATCAGCGTTTCCGCCGCGAAAGGCCTATAGTACATAAGCTGGCGATCCGGTTTTAAGTGTTTTCACGCCATTATTGGCCAAAACATCAATATTTCAAATCATACAAAACCCTCATTTTTCCCTATCATTACGATTATAAACTTTATTATCCGAAAACTATTTTTTTACACATTCAAGGTTCTGGCATGGGACCGAGGATATGGTGCTCATTGATGGTGTTGCACAGGGACCCGGAGCGGAACGATATTGAACCGAAAACTGGAACGGAACCGTTTTTTTTTGTGGACCGAAACGAAACCCATGTATTTCATAGAAATGTTAGGTCTGTTTCTGAAGAAATCACAAACCAGTCAGAGTGAATTTCATTGGTTGAAACTAGTTTTCTGACTGTTTTTAACCAATGAAATTCGCTTTAACTGGCTTGCGATTTCTGCAGAAACTGTTGTAAAGGCAGGCAGAACCGGAACCGATATAAATTAATCGGTTCTTACCGGTATTTTTCGGATTCAAAATTTCATAAACTAGGCTGTTTGTTGTTTGGTCGTAGGTACTCGTAACCTAATAAATTAAAATTAAAACTCAACAGAGCGTCGGAAAGCGCGCATTTCTGAACTCGGCTAGGCTACACCAAGGATATTACACACTACTACAGGATTGCTCGTAGGTATCGAATCAAATCAAGTTCATATGGTGTTGCACCGTTGCCGACGTCATCGCAATGGTGGCTTTAACGGTTTGCGCCTGCGGTCGTAGCTAAGAATATATCGGGTCTTCAAAAAAAAAACCAATCAAAGATTGCTATGGTTTTTTAAACGTACGTCTTAGCAATATTTTTCTTTAATTTTGACAATGTCAGTCAATGAAATTTAATGTCAAAATGTCATGTCAAAAATCCTGACCAATAAAGAAACAATAATGCGACGATTAACATAATATGCAAAAAGGGAGATGCAAACGAGATCTAAGCAAAGATTGTTTTAGAATGTTAAATAAGGCAACATGTATTTGGCCGACCAAATGTTAATTTTTCAATATTCGCCATACTCAATCGTTTGGTGGTCGTTTGGTGGTCTTTGGTATCCCACTTTTAATATTTGGTGGTAATTACTTAGGCAGTAATTAACAATTAAAAATATCATATGACGTTGGCCGACATAACCTGATTCTAATTTATTTTTTGGCCCATTTATGGTCAAATCGAACGGAAATCGTTTGGTGGTCACGAATTTACCGAATTTAGCGTTTGTTAGTCAATAATACCGGAGTAATTAATCAATTAAGATTGTTTTCTGATATATTTTAATTAATCGTCGCGCATGCGCATATATTATCTGTTTTTCATTGAGCCGCCTCGATCGCGGCGTTGCCGTTGCGATCCGGAAACTGACGGTGGGCCGGTGGCGTGTCAACTCGCGAGTCGCGAGTCGCGGACTCTGCTTGTACTGGATACTAGATTACTGGATTGTCGTTGTCGTGGTCAGTGGTCGCCACAATAGCAAAAATGAAATTAACTGGAGTTTTATTTTGTCATAAACCTGCGAACTTAATTACTGTTATAGACGTTATAGTTACTGTATGTATACTGTATAGAAGATAGTTATGACAATGGTCGGTTTTTAAATGCAAGTTTTAAATAGGCCTTTGACAAAACATGGCGGGTAGGCCGCTATTGTCGTTACCGTTACCATTGCCCGTGAATAAGATTGCAGTTGGATCAAATGCTATCTCTAGTAATCCACTTGCAACCTAAAAAACTTCTTATTAATGCACGGGCTAAGTAAATCACGATGTATACCTATTTTCAGTATTCGAGTAAGTATAGATACCTACCTAATTATTCGTTGATTGTAATGAAATAATTGATTTGATTGAAAATTATAGAATAGGTAGGCAACGCCGCGATCGAGGCGGCTCAATGAAAAACAGATAATATATGCGCATGCGCGACGAATAATTAGAATATATCAGAAAACAATCTTAATTGATTAATATCTCCGGTATTATTGACTACCAAACGTTAAATTCGGTAAAATTCGTGACCACCAAAACGATTTCCGTTCGATTTGACTATAAATGGGCAAAAAAATAAATTAGAATCAGGTTATGTCGGCCAACGTCATATGAAATTTTGAATTGTTAATTACTGCCTAAGTAATTACCACCAAATACTAAAAGTGGGATACCAAAGACCACCAAACGACCACCAAACGATTGAGTAAGGCGAATATTGAAAAATTAACATTTGGTCGGCCATACACATGTTGCCGTTAAATAATGATGTACCTACTAAAACCAAATACATATAATGCAAAAAACAGCGTAATCGTAACTTGTCGTGCAAACAGGGGCGTCGCGTCGGGGGGGGGGGGGGTAATTGGGGTAATTACCCCCAGGATTGGAAAATCAAGAGAAAAATCACGATGCCCAAAAGAAAATACATGATATATTGAAGAAAATTCAATATTTTTTTCTCCCACAAAGGAGATAATTGTTCTGGACAAGTGAATGACCTTGAAATTTGCAAAAAATTAAGCCAGCGGCGCATTTACAAGGAGGCGCCCCCTGAACCCAAGTACTATACACCCTCCCCAGACTGCTTGACGCGCGTCGCCACTGCGTGCAAACACCTATAGAAGGCGAGAAATGACTCGTTGCCTACGTCATTACTCCTACTTTGGCGTGGTGGGGGGCTTGAGATTTTTATTTATTTTAATAATGATATTATTTAATATTTATTTCATGTAAAATTCCATTCATATGGAATATACAGGGTGGGGACTTTAACTGCAACTAATTCGCTAGAGCCTTCGCATAAAATATGTGGACAAAACGCAAAAACACGTCGATCAAGATTTTTTTTTTGAAATTTTTCCATATCAATTTTTTTATACAGGGTGTTCCAAGAACAACTGTACGGTTATCAACTTTATTTTTCCAAATGGTAGCCCCTGTATATTATGACATTTCTGGATTCTGCTGAAAATTCTATACATATTTCATGTACAATGTTATATACCTATCTTCAACTGTTTCGGAAATATTGACAGTTGAAAATTGACTTTTTTGCAACCTTGACAGGTTGTAAAACCTAAACGGTTAATTTTAGAGGAAAACCAGTTTAACATTCCTATCTTAGATTTTCATAAACTATCATTTGACACTAACTTTTGAATTTAACTGGAGATTGAATTTAACTGGAATTTTTAATCATGGATTAAATTCAAAGTTGGTGTCAAATGATAGCTTATGAAAATCTAAGATGGGAATGTGAAATCGATTTTCCTCTAAAATTAACCGTTAAGGTTTTACAGCCTGTCAAATTTGCAAAAAAGTCCATTTTCAACTGTCAATATTTCCGAAACAGTTGAAGATAGGTATATGACATTGTGAATGAAATATGTCTAGAATTTTCTGCAGAATCCAGAAATGTCATAATATACAGGGGCTACCATTTGGAAAAATAAAGTTGACAACCGTACAGCTGTTCTTGGAACACCCTGTATAAAAAAAATATTGTGAAAAAAACTCAAGCAAAAAATCTTGATCGACATGTTTTTGCGTTTTGTCTACATATTTTATTCGAAGGCTCTAGCGAATTAGTTCCAGTTAAAGTCCCCACCCTGTATAATTTTTTTATCAAATTTTTCTGTTAGATATTTGTGAAAAACTATACCGGTATGAACCGTTAAAACCGAAATTATCGATCGTTCAATTAAAATATTACTCTTAGAACCGGCGGAACCGTAACGAAAGCGATATTTGTCATGACGCTGTGGACCGAAACCGGAACGGAGCCGATATTTCATTTCCGTCCGGATCCCTGGACTTTTGCACCGTTGTTGACGGCATCAACGGTTTCGTTAGGAGTTAGCGCCAGCGGTCATATGACGTTGGCAGTGGTGTTACAGGATGACCGAGATTTTCGTCAAAAACGAGACAGATAAGCAATTTTGTAGTAGTGTGTATTCTCCTTGCGTATTACCACGACACCGATGACATTTCACTCGCACAACGCACAATAGGCAATTTTTTGCGAGGATAATCAAGCATAATCTGATTATGCTGAGTTATGTGATGTTCCAATTTTTCTTACACCCCTAACTTCCTCCCCATCAAATTCTGGGCCTACGAGTGCCGTCACTATCAGCAGCTTATAGCGATGACGTCAACCGAAGACCTCAATGGAATGCATGCGATCCAGGCTGTGCTAATGAGTTAATTTTTTTTGTCGATTCTAAATGAAGAATAGGTGATATGCGGTCTGCTGCCTCAGAAGAAATTAAGTGTTCTTGATCCTCGAGTATTTCAGAATTTGACTGTGGGGGAGTTAGGCGAGTATGACACAAATGATACATCACAATCCAGCAGAAGATTATGCTTGGTTATCTTCGCGAAAAATTGCCCTATAGTTATGTCATGTGATGAAAACCGAATAGCAGTGCAAGGATAATACACACTACTACTAAATATAAGGCATGTGTGAAACAAATCTGAAGCCCCCCACACGCCAAATCAACAGTTTTGACGTACAGCATGTCGTTTCTCGCCCCGACGTTAGACGTAGGCTGTTTGTACCAGGTTATGATTCCACGGCTCTTAGCTTTTTATGTTAATCGAAATTAGATAATATTTTCCATCATAAATGTATATTCTAAACTACGACTGTTAGCGCAAACAGCTGATGTCGCTGACGACTTAGTTAATGACGTTGGCACTGGTGATACACCAATATGGCGACGATTACCAAAAACGAGGCCGATAAGCAATCCTTAGTAGTTTTATCCTTGCGAGTGGTGTGCCCTGCTCTCAGTGCAGTCATTTATGAAAGCGCCTATTCTCGCTTGCGCAATCGTTATTTCATTCAAATTTGACATTTGTAAAAAATGATGCTTGAAACTTGAAATTGTTAACCGCCATCAACCGCCATTATGGGAGTGTAGTGTAGAGATCGTCTTCGTCTTCCTAGTAGAATTTTAAATTCGGATTTTTTAGTATTTATTTAGTTTTATTAATTGTTATTATTAGTGCATTTCAATAAGCTGATTGTCAAGATGACGAACCGTGCGCTGGAGGCGTTCTTGGAGCTATCCGACGACACCGATTTTCCATCCAAAGCCAAGGAAATTGATGAGTCTTTTGAGAGTTTGCTGAGGGATGTGAGTAATAATTTCAGTTTTACTTTTAACCTACTATAGTTTGAGAGTTGAGAGTCTTTTGAGTTTTAATATTGAAGTTGTTATTTCCAAAATACCTACAATAACCTACAATGCTGGAAGAAGTCTTCAACATTCTTGACCAATACATCCCTTGGGTTTGCAATCAAATAACAAACTTGTGCTTCCTTTTATTCACTTATTGATTCCCAGTACTGTAAAATATAGAAGTTTTTGTATGACCTTAAGAATGCAATATTCACCAATACAGTCCACTAACAATTCAAACCTCGATTTAAACAATTAATTGCATCCTCAGTACCTCTTACTATAGATAGGACGAGTTATCAAGAAAAGACAAAAATTCTTTCATAAGTTGCCAGAGGGAGATATGGAAGAGACTTGGAACAGGTGTACCCAAAAGCTTTACATAAATACATAAAATGAATTTGTTCATGCACTTAGATGCATAGGGGTCAATATTCTTCCCAATGCTGAGGCCAGCTTCCAATGCAACAACTGCCAATAAAAACATTTTACTTGATTCCGGGATTTCAATTGAATGGATTTAAAACTGGTAGACTAAGTATCTATACAGGGTGGCTCAAATTTGAGATGTTGCTATTCTGGTTTTTATTCACGGACACCCTGTATGTTTAGTGTTGTGTTTTTTAATAATAAATTGTAGGTCAATTCGTTTTTTGGAGATATTTCATTATATTGAGCTTGTGTTAGAAACTTGAAAAAAAAAAAAAAAAAAAAAAAAAAAAAAAAAAAAAAAAAACGGGTGCTGCAAACTGGAAATTGGGTGCTCCAACCATTGAATTCAAGCAATATGACCTTTTTCCATTAAATGTTCTAAGTTCGAATCTCTGAAAGTTTATATCTAATTCACTCCAAAGCTTGAGTTTTCAATATTTTGTTTTCAGGATGTATTACCTTTTATAAAAGCAGCAAAAAATTTTATTGAAAAGGGAATAGGAGATTATGCAGCGTTAGGTATTGAAGATGAGGGTAAGTTGAAATAATCATATAACATTGATCAATTGTACTTATAATTTAACTTATTCCCTAAAAATAAATAGTAGCAGCGCTGAATCTGAATGCAAAAAAGAAAGGAGGTGCCGTTAAAAAGAAAAATGAAGTTCTCAAAGAGACTACCACTGAAAATGTTGATAATGTCCAGGTAAGTTTGAAAAAACCTTTGATTATTATTCAGAAAATAAGAATTCTCGGAAAAAATATATATTTAAAGGTAGATAGATAAATAGATTTATTTTATTCATGTTAAGAAATTTTGTAATTTTTACATATGTCAGAAAAAAAATATGTCAATATCAGAGCAAAGCTCTAATACATTGTGCAGAAAATACTTACTTAATAAATCATTGATTAAGGGCGAAATTAGGGACTGACTGATAAGTGTCAGGTTGTTACCTAGCAGGTACTTTCTATTCTCTGGAGCATGGAAAGTACCTGCTAGGTAATAACCTGACACTTATCAGTCGGTCCATACTTTGGCCCTAAAAATTATAAAAGTTGTTGATTAAAAAAACACTAAGCTAAAGAAACAAAGAAAGACATTCAACATTTAAGCATTTTAAGCAGACAGAAATAAATTTAAAAGACAAGACACTAAGGAGATCATTTAAAAGTTACATAAAAAATTTCAAAAAAAAAGAACGAGCAGTAGGCACCCACTGAATTAACAATTAAATTACAGAACAGATTTAATAAATAAAAAAAAAAAAAAACTATAGAATGTTGTTGATGTCACTCTAGAAATTCAGCCTCCGAAAAATAACTATTTTCAATCAAGAATCTTTTTACTGTTTCTTTAAAAGGTTTTGGTGGAAGTTCCCTGACACCCACTGGCAATTTGTTGAAAAGCCTAACAGCTGTATATTCAGGCCTGCATTGTGATTTTGTCAAGCGGCAAAAAGTTGGTCTTAAGTCCCCCCATAACGTGTTGGATAGTAAGTAATGTATGTCATCATAAGTGTCAAAATTACTTCTATTACCTCAGACATAGATGAGGTTTTCAAGGATAAAAGCTGAGGGAAAAGTGAGAATGTTCAGCTCTGAGAATGCCATCTTGCAGTCCTCACGATTCCTAAATACTAGAGTAAAACATTTAAACAAGTGACTAAATAAAGTAATTACAACAGTCAAAATAAACACATAAAATTAAAAATATCCAATACAGTAGTTAAAAAAACAAAACAAAAAAAATATTTGTCAACAGCATCTCTTAATATTTATTTATAGTAAAATGGTTATACAAAAAATACAAACCAGATTATCCTAAACTATTATTATCAAAAAATTCTTGCAAAATATAATATGCTTTTTTACACAAAAAACTTTTCAAAGCAGTTTTAAACCTTCTTAGTTTTTTAATTTCTATGCCATACTGGATGTGAGATTCCACTTAAGAGAAATATACCATTTTGACAGAATTATGACCAAGCTCGTTGAATACAGTCTGTATCGCATAGCATCCGCTAGCCAGTCTATTGTTAAGATTGTTGACATGCGTGGAAAATTTGAGCTGGCTGTCAACATGAATCCCAAGGAACTTGCAGGTGGACCTGTTTTCAATTAATTGAGCATCTACATAGGTAGAGTTCATTGTAAATAAATTTGAATGTCATGAGGTTGTTTTTTTTGTATTAAAGCACAGTAAATTTGCGTCACACCATTCCTTAATTGTTTTTAAGTCCCTTGAGACTGTGTCCTTTAAAGTTTCAAAATTTTTCCCTCTCCAAGAAAGAGTGTTATCATCTGCAAAAGCTGTGAAGCGGCCTTGAATTTGTAGTCTGAATATATCATTCAGATACAGCAAAAATGAAATCGGTTCAAGAACGGACCCTTAGGGAACACCATTCGATATATTTAAAGTTAGAGGTAGTGTGAAACCGATTTTTACATAGGTGCTGTTCTCATTTTGAGAAATAAGATTTGAACCACATCAAGGAGACTCCTCCAAAGCCGTAAACATGCAATTTTTTTAACATAATTTCATGGTTTACACAGTCAAAGGCCTTAGAGAAGTCACAGAAGACTGTGACGACCACTTCATCCTCATTCAAAGCTGTGAAAATATGATCTAAAAGATTAAAAATTGTGTTGTGAGTGTTTTTGGATGGTTGAAAACAAAACTGAGAATTACTTAAAATATTAAGTTTATTCAGGTACTCCAACATTCTTCTCTTTACCAATTTTTCTATTACCTTTGAAAGTGTTGAAAGCAATGATATTGGGCGGTAATTTTCGGGCTTGTCAGTTTTACCTCCCTTATGTATTGGAACAACAACTGCTGTTTTAAGAACGACAGGAAAATTGTCCAATTGAAAGGAGATATTTATACATTCAGCCAACACATAGAGAGCAGTCTCAGGAAGATTCCGAAGTAGTCTAACTGAAATGTCATAGCCGCTTGACTTCGGATTTTTTATGTCCCTAAAAATATTTCTCAGTTCACCGATATTTGTAGGTTGTAGCTTAAATCTACAATCTATTTTTATGTCAGACAAATACGGAAGAGGATTTATGGTACTTTTCAGATCCGATTGCAGGTTACTGGCAACAGTACAGTAAAAGTTATTTAGAATATTAGCATCCACATCCACCCTTGACCAGGGATAAGGGTCCCTACCCGTTAACTGGTTCACAAGTTTCCAATTTCCCTTTGTTGAGTTATTTGAATTTTTAATTTGGTCACGGTAAAACTTGTCTTTTGCAGCTTTGATAAGTTTTCTGTATGTTAACCTGTATTTGGCAAAGTAACAGAGAAAACGGGGAATGGTTGTGTACTTTTTTATTGCTTGAAGAGATCTGAAATTTTGATACGAGGATATTTTGATACGCTTTGTCACCCAACTCTTTCTGTTGATTTGTTTGATTTTCTGTAGTGGAAAACATTCAAGAAAAGTACTACTTATTTTGTTTTGAAAAGACGCAAGTGGAGATTCTGTGTTTAACACTTCATACCTTTAGCTCTCCTTGCAGAGCTAGCTTTACCACATGCTATTATACTGTAGGTCATGGTGGAGTGGAAAAGCGCATAGTAGGCTGTTTTTAGGGTGTCAAGCAAGACAGTCTGCTAGATTTCTCAAGAGAAAAACGCTGCTTCTCAGCTTCTTGGTGTTTCGGAAACATTTCCTAAAATCTTGCCTTTCCTAATGGAATTTTAGCTTTTTCTATATCTTTCAAAGTTTTTTGATTTTTTTAGTTAGTCAAGATGGAATTTCAGCTTTTTGCATTGATTATACACTCATTAAAATAGTTTAGGGAACAAGAAATATGTCTTTTAATTTTAGACCAAACATCTTTTTTTTTAAAGATAATCTAAGTATCATTTATCATACAAATCTTATCAAATTTACCATATCCGCTTATTTTTGCGAGCTTGTTTAGTTTAAATATACAGGTTGTCCCGCGACGTTTCTTCCAGGTGATAACTTCGGAACGCGTCATCCAATATAATTGAAATTTTGAGGATCTATGTAACTTTTTGTGCCGCTTCTACCATTGTCATCCAATTTCACCATTTTTGCTTCAATTTCGGTTAAGTGACGTCAACTTTTTAATTTTAAATGTAACTCATGGTATATTATGGCATTTTTCGTTAAAAAATTAAATTACGAAATCGGCTATGCCATATTTGTTAGGGCTTTGTTAAAGGATATGACAGAAAATTATACAGTGGAACATACGAGGATGCGTTCCGAAATTATCATTTGGGAAAAACCTCTTGGGACACCCTGTATATATTATAAATGAAATCAGCAAAAAATTTCTGATAAGTATAGGTGTTATCTTATTTTTGATGTGTATTTCCTTCCGGTTAGTTTTTCTAGAAAGAAAGGATCTCAGGAAGGATGTGCATTGTCCATTTCTATAACTCGATTATCTGTGAAGGGAAGCCAAATATCACAAACTCAGCATTCATGTTCTCACAATAATTTTTTTCTGTGATTGACAAGAAATGTCAGCATTTTTACCCGGTTGACAGGTCGCAAAACTCATTATTCTGGTATTTCAATTATGTTTCAATAGTTGCTAAGAAATCAATGAATAACAATACAGAAAACACTTTTCCGGCCTAGGCCGGGAAAGTGATTCTCGTATTGCTGAATAATTGGAACTAAAAGACAAATATTTAACAGGTATTGAATCGATCGCAGAAAAAATAGTATGTGTATTTCGGTGGAAAAGCACATTCTCGGCCTTCGGTGTTTGCCGGCTCGGCTACGCCTCGCCCGTCAACTTACACCGTCGGCCGAGAATGTGTCGCTTTTCCACCTAATAACACAATATACTATTTTGTCATATGCTCCCAAAAACAGCTATTTTACGGACTCATTCAAGTCCGTAAAATGCTTCTTTCTAGGATTTTTTTTTCTTCCTGGATGCACCTTTATGATTTCAAAAATTAAGGAAATTTTGCAAATTTTAGCGCTCTGAAGAATTCTTAAAAGCGTATGACAAAAAATAGTGTTTGTCATACGTACCTAAAGAAGTTTTTCAGGACTCATCTGCTATTCTGGACTCGGCTAACGCCTCGTCCGGAAACAGCAATGATTCGTCCTGAAAAACTTCATTTTAGGTACTTGTGACAAAAATAACTATTTCATTGAGAAAAAACCAATCCATCCTCGCCAAGTAAACTGATTGTGTGAAGTTTCATGAATTTGAAGTTTCGTTTTATCATTTGAACGTCTGAAACCGCACCCTGTTGAACTTTGATTAAAGCCCATATAGGTACTAACAAATGGATTGTTGAAATTTTCCATACATTTTCCAAATTTTCTTAATTGCACCAGATCAAGGGTATAGTTTTTTTGTTGAAGCAGTGGAAAAGCATCCTTGATTATATGTTTGACTTGAAGAATATTTTAATAGAGATGTGCATGGAAAACCTAAAGCATCTTCACAGCAATGAGGGCAGTCTTGAGCAACTATGGTTAAGTGCACATGTTGAACATAAAAAATTTGCTATTAGCGTAGTAAACCGTCCCTGCAGAAATGTATCCTTAGACAAGTTAGAAGATAGATTGAGGGAACTTATAGTTGTCAAATGAAGATCTACTTCAGGCAAACAACAAACAAGTACTCTGAAAAAGTAATTCATCGCTAGAGACGTACAACTTAAAGCAAGTCATTGAAGACCCTACAAGAATA